CGAAGACAACACTACGGTGTTCCTGAAAAGGCTACCGACCTTCACATTAACATTAATAATTTTCCACGACAGAAATGAATAAACAGAAAACGAATATTTTTTTCCAAAACAGACATATTTTAAATGGAAAAGAAGTTAGCCAAGTTACCCAAACATTAACTCTCGAAGAATGCACAAGGTCGCCGCCATTTTGCATGTTAATTGCCACAAATAACTATACAAGTGATAACCGCATGTGTGTTTCTGGCTTTCGAGCGGCCGACCGACGAACAACAAATCAAGCTGTTTGTGAACATACGAGAACAGGCCACCCAAACTCAGCCATAGCGTCAGCAGTTGCCGCCCTCAACGTTCGTTTTTGACTTAGTTTGTTTCGTTTTGTCCTTTGATCGTTTACTCCGTCCTTTGATCGTTTGGCTCTGTCTCTTTGACCATTTAGTTTTGTCTTTAGATCATTTGGTTTTATTCTTTGATCGTTTAGTTTTGTGCTGTTTTTATTCGTTTCTGTCCTCTTGTCGTTTAATTTTGCCCTTTGATCTTTTCCCTTTTTCTGACCCGTTGAGGTTTTCATCGTTTGTTTCTCAAATGCTGTTCGCAAAGCAGGATTTAGGACTCTTCTTCGTTTTTCTGTTCGGTGTTGTTTCTGTAGTTTAGGGTTAAGTTCCTAGAATTGATGCATTGCAAATATTCTTTAAGATCTCATTAACCCTAACCCTCCTCAATCCTCCAACAGGTGAAGGATTGAGGAGGGTTAGGGTTAAATCCTGGATGTTTTGCTCATGGCAGGCAGTCACCGTAGGATCAACTGATAAGTACGACAAAAGATCGTCCTTTTCAAACTACGGGACATGCATCGACATCTTTGTCCCTGGCAGCTCTATCCCGAGTGCCTACCACAATTTTAACAGTGCTTCAGAGACACTCTCCGAGACCTCCACGGCCTATCTACACGTTTCTGGTCAGAAACCTGGAGATCACTTAATACTTTTTTCTTTATTTCTTGTATTAATTCCTGGATCCTTTTATTCTATTGTTTTTTCTTCTATTTTTGTTCTTTTCTTCCTTTCCAGTCTCATTTCCCTGATTATTTCCAGTTTGCAATCAAATCATTTAATTCATGTGAATAGGATGCACTCTTTTGGGGGGCCTTATATGAAAAATAACGCTTGTGATGTCTAATGTTCTACTTATACGAATTTCCGCTCTCTACTTGGCTCAAAATCCGAGTCGTCACCTGCGCAGATAATGAGCAAACTCAAGAACGCAGCAACCTAAAACGTTGTTTCAAACAGAGGATCGGGTAATCCCAACCTTTTTTCATTTATTGATTGATAGAAATCTCCGACCCTGGAGTTAACAAATTTCTGGATTCTGATTGGACTTCTGTTTGAACTGCAACTTTAAGTTTTCAAGATGATCAAAGATAATATTCAATATATCGTCAAATGAGATTCATGACACCATGCATCTACGTACCCAAACACACACAAATATAACGGTCAGTTTCTGTGGCAGTGGCTTCTGACTGATTTCTATCAACATTATGGGACAGAAAATTGAAGTGTTGCATTGCGTAAGGTCAAAGATTCAAATTATATGTATCTGGAGATCTGCGCTGCAAGGCATAGCAGACTGAAGATGACCACAGAAAAAGGTCCTTCAGGACATTACACGAGTATCCACAAAGGCCACAAAAACATCACTCGCATCAATCTTGAGGAATGATTTAATAATAATAGGAATAACAATAATGATAATAAATAACTATTAACTAATTAACTGTTCCAGAATTAACAATTCCCCTGTATTTTTTACCTTTTCTTTAATGTTTGGGGTAAATTGTGTTTGTACAGAGAAGTCAGAGAGATCATCCAGACACTCAAAGAGAGAGTAGAAGATGACGGCAACCTGGAGGTAGCTGATATAAAGGCTAGTTTGGCGAAGGCCATAGAGGCGATTGACAAGCGCCAAAAGTTGATTAGGCTGGCAGATTCAAGTCCGTATGGTTGGGTGACCGTATCTGAGTACAAGTCTCACCAGCTACCTGACAACAAAGATGACGACGCCAAGATCACCAGAGCAGAGAACAGGGCTGCAAGGAAGGCCAAGCAAAAGAGAGCAGCGTCAACGACATCTACTCAGCAACAGAAGAAGACCAGATGGGACAGCAGCTCTTCGTGGGCGTCTACTGGCGATAGTTCTTTTCGACGCTCCTCCCAATCTTACCCCTACCTTGCCGGAATGTCCAAATTCCAAGGGGGATCTTGCTTCATTTGTGGCAGCTTTGCCCATTGGAGAGCGACCTGCCCAAGAAAATTTGCCGTCAGTGTAGCGCATTCTGCTGCCCTGTTTGCAGTCAGCCCTATCACACTCATGGCCATTGACACTTTCCACGCATATAGACTTGTGGAATGTAACTAGGTTTAATCTGAAATTAACCACAGATCAAACAATACATGTATTAAGATGCGCCCACGACAATAAACTT